CGTTCGGCACGCTGCATTGAGCAGCCATGTTCAGTTTTTAATTGTAGTGTCTGTTCTTTTACTGAACTAAATGATTTTTATTACATAAGAAAAATCAAAACGACGGTGGGGGTCGGTTTTGTCTTCTCTTCCAGATGAACTGAATCATGACATTCATGACGTTCACTCATGGGCGATTCATATTCAAGCACGAATGAGAACCGTTTCACGGGGGATGCCAGGTGTTCGGAAAAAAAGAAAAAAAAGAATAGTCGAATATCAAAATTGAAAATCGAATGCCAACCCACCGAACGAATATTCGAATAATCGAATATTCTGGCCCAGTCCTAGATTGAGGCATCAATTTATGTCTTGTGAAGTGAAACACTGCATTGTTTGTAAGAAACAAATCCATCAAGGCATTTTAACCTTAAACCAATGCTTCTGACCAAAATATGAGCCCGTAATCCAAAATAACTATTCGTCCAGAGAAAAAGTCCATCTCCTATTGTTCTCTCACATCAAAATCCAACAACATATTTGTTTAGAACTGTTTTAGACTGTTTTCACTTGTAAACAGAGCTTTATCTGTGCATATTTCTCTCCTGATTCAGACGAGATGACTTTTTTTACTGGAGAAAGCAATATTATGGATAGAGGACTCATATTTGGATACATATTGGACTCTCATTCTGACGGCACCAATTCACTGCAGAGGATCCATTGGTGAGCAAGTGATTTAATGCTAAATTTCTCCAAATCTGTTCTGATGAAGAAACAAACTAATCTACATATTACATATTGAATGGCCTGGGGGGGGGGGTACATTTCAGTAAATTTTCTTTTTTGGGTGAACTATTCCTTAAGCCCCATACCAAAAAAAAAAAAAAAACACTACATCAGGAGAACTACAGAAATCAAGTATTTGTGGTCACAATATCACAGAAATTATGAGATCTCATATTAAATATTGCGAGTTACCTGCTTTAGTGATATAGAGGGGCAGCCAGAAGAGGAAGGTATAACTGACCAATTTGGCAAACAGCAGACAAAGAGAGAACTCCACCACTCCCTGCAAACACACAGCAGGAGAAACTTCAGTGACGCTGTAACACACGCTGATGATGGACAGACGGATGGGCCGCACTCACAGGAATGCGCAGAGCTCCCATGAAGCTGATGGCTGACGGTTCGGCCTCGCTCTTCACCACGACCACCTGCTGTACAGGAACACACACTCCAATACTCTCCTGTCCCAGCAGAAGCTCCGTGTCCCAGCTCTAACAACCACAGCAGACAGGACAGTAAAATATCTCAATTAATACTTCTAAAGGAGTGATGGATAGAAAAATACACAGTGAGGTGGACAAACCTGTGCTTTAGCTCCTGGCTTGTACTGCAAGTAAAGGTCTTTATGTCCATTCACACCATTCCAGTTTTTATGAAGCTTCTGATAAAAAACATAAGAGTTCATAATGTCACATTGACAAAAAAAAGAGCAATGCATAGACAGGATATATTCTGCATTTATTTGTTATATTAATTTTATTTTATTATCATGATAACACAGGACACATGGGTAGTTGAAATGACATTCCATGACATTTCTCCTCTCTTTATTTTGTAATTAATTTATTTAATTAGACATTATGAAGGGCCAAATAGGCAATGGTTATAAAAAAACCTGAATATTTATTTATAAATACTGAACATAGTTAGAATTCTTAATATGAATGTAAATCCAAATATATAGTTACAAACGGAATAGATACAAACAGAATTTATAAAACTAAATCCAAACATTTATTTATAAATTTTGAATATAAAGAAATAATTTTGAACATATAATTAAGTACAAATATATAGTTATAAGTCTTAATATGCAGATACAAATCTGAATATATAAATCGAAATCAAACCATGCATTTATAAATTCATGAAAATCTGAAAATATAGTTATAATAAACCCTGAATATATATTAATACATTTGATCAGGCATATTGAAGCTTTTTATATTTAACTAAGCCAAACAAGCTCAGACTTAATATAATTACTTCCTGTTTGGTCCTTCATAATATATACAAACATTCATTTAACAACTATTAAATAATAAATGTTTACATTATAATTTTAAAAAAAAAAAGAAGAAATGGAATATTTCAGCTTTTAAATTTGTATTTGTCATACCCTGAAAAAAAACAAGTGATATCAAAAAGTTGAGTAAAAGTGGTGAGGAACTTAATAAAATGGCGACAAGTTACAGAATGAAAAGATTTCACTAAACACCTGTTAGGAAAAAAAAAAAAAAGGTTTTGTGTCCATGTCTATGTCTATGTCAACTACCAATATATTATATATCTAAATGCTAGATATTTGCATAGATTTCCAATAAGTGCATCTGGTGCTAGTATCATTGACCCAATTCCCAATTCACTCTAGAGGGGTAGACAAAAATACTGTGGCGTAACACCTCCTAAATTGCAATTAATTAATCGCTATGAATATTTAAGGATGCTTTAGAAGCAAACCAAGAGGTATTAGCATAAACAATGACAGAGAATCAAGAATTATGCAGCGGCAAGCTGAAAAAAAAAAAAGTGTTTGAAGTTTCTCTTGAATTTGATTAATTCCTCCTCCACAGTCAAAATGAGGAAAAGAGGCATCAATCTACATTTGCTCCTGCTGTCACCCCCTTCCTCCATCCCTAACATCTCTGTTACTCCTGATTAGCCACTCCTCCTGAATCAAATCAGTCTGATGAAGTGTTTCAGAAATGTGAACTCTGCCTGTTTTAGAAGAGCACCTCACGCTCTACTGAGACTCGCAGGTGTACACATCACAGCGCCGTTGTCATAGCGACTGCTGTTGCGCATGAGTGCGTCATGTTATCAAACTAACCTTTTCCTCAGACCGCTGGGAAAAGACATTAACATACAGACTCTGACTCTCTCTCAGGTTTTGTTTATATATATTGCAAAAATAGAATTTTTCTGCTGATTCAAACTAGTTTAGTTTTTGTCACCTGAACAGCAAAAACCACATGAAATCTGATATTTACAAGCCCAATACAAACCACATTGATTGATTTTTTTTGGAATGAGTATTGACAGGCCTGTCTAAAAAAAACTAATTCGATTAATTCGCCTGCAAAATTACAGAGCAGACTTGTCATTCCTGAGAGACTGGATTGGAAACCCACATCGGATTTGTGTACAGTATGAACAAAACCTTAAAGGCATATACTAATACTACTGTTCAAAAGTTTGGGGTTGTTAAGTTTTTTTTTTATGTTTTTGAAAGAATTATCTTATGGATGTCATAGACGTATCCCAGTCCAAACAGACAGGTGAAAAGCCCACTGGTCAACATGCCCACAGTCAGGTACAGGCGAATGGGCAAACGCTCTCCAATTATTCCACTGAAAAGGTTGTATTAAGAATGTTAGCAACAAAAAGTAAACACATTTCATGTTGGGGAGTTAGTTCAAACTGTTCAGTAAGTCTATTCAAAACTTAATTTGAGGCATTTTTTAAGTATTAAAATATTTTAGTAACAAATTACATCAAAACTCATTATTTTTCAAATTAATTGAATGAAAAACAAAGTAGAAAACATGACTTGTTTATAGCAAAAGGTTAGCTCACCTAAATATGAAAATTCTGTCATCATTTACTGACCCTCAAGTCGTTCTCAATCCATATAACTTTCATTCATCTTCGAAACACAAATAAAAATATTTTAAATAAAAACTGAGAGATTTCTGCTCCTCCACGGAATGTCCATTACACTAAACATTTATAAAGTTCTTAAAGACACGCTTGAGTGTCCATTTAACATATTTGATTGCCCTATGTATCAATATTTATATGCAAATAAAAGCCTAAATTGAATCAGACTTGAATTGTTTACTTTAACAATGTCTTTATGAACTTTTTAAAGCATCAATGACTACGTTTACATGGACATAAGTAATCTAATTATTTACCTTATTCTAAATAAGTCAATATTATGATTAAGGTGTTTACATGAGTTGCTTTTAGAATATTCCTTTCATCTTCCCGTTTTACATGTTATATTACGTCCCCACATGACGAAATCCGACGTCCCCTCCAGAATTTCACGTATAAACATATAGTTCGTCTGCGTTATGATGCCATATACAGTTTTGGATGTTTCATTTTTAATTTTACGAAAGCTTCAAGTGCAGATAATGATTTGTCATGCTATATGAGCAAACAGACGACGGTGGTGTTGAAGCCATGCTCTTTTGTTTGCCGTCAAACGGTTGAGCACTGCCGTGTGTGTATCCTGTCGCAAAATGCGGCCAAAAGTCCTACACAATGGT